CAGCCTCAGTCTTGCAGTTACTTGTTAGGGACCTGCTGGCTTTAACTCCTTGTTCTCCCTATTCCTTTTCCTTTCTACATGTCCTTCATTTCAACAAATGCAAAAACAATAATAATGATCTTGGGGTGGGGTACCACTGTCTTACCAGAGAGGATAGACAAGCTGGTACCCCAGATCTCAGAAGCTTAAAAGACATGAGCTATTCCTTGTTCCTGCTGCGCTCACGTGGTGGCAGCTGGGGCTGTGTTCATCCTCATCAGAGATCCCTGACTGAGCAGCCTCCATTCTGGGCCAATGCCAGAGAGAAACTCCAGAGACCTCCTACAATTGAATGTCCAGCCTGGAGAGTCACATGATCTGCCTTCCCCTGCAGCTCATTGGTTAGAACAAGTCACATGACCACACCTAGTTGCCCCGGAATCAGGCAGTGAGTGCTGCCCTGTGTCAGTGAAGAGACCCACTGTACCCACAGTGCTGCCAGTGAATGTCCCATGTGGTTGCAGTTTTGACGCACCATGTTCCCCAGCCCAGTCTCCACGGAAGCCTCTTGGCTATCATCTCTAGTACCCATCTTCTGTGGCTGTGGCCCAGCTGGGGAGCCAGTGCCTGTCCTGGCACCAGCATGCTGTGTCTGTCCTGTCCAGAGGGCTTTGGCATTTGTCCCAGAGATCATCTCCCTGACCAGCTGCCCACCAGAGGGCTTTCTGGGTCAAAGGACACGGTCATACTTATTCTTTTCATTGGCCCTTGAACCTGACTCCCCGGCTCTGGCCACAGATGGGTTTCCCTTAGTTCGTGAGAACCAGGGGACTATCCTGTTTCCCTGGAGTGCCACCGCCTGAGCAGTCAGTCCTCAGCCCTGCGCTGCTGCAAGGCCCCGCCAGCCTCGGCCCCGCCAGCCTCGGCCCCTTGCCTTCTGGGACTGAAAGGTCTTTGGCTCCCCACCCCCAACCAGTTTGCTCTTCCATCTGTCACCCTAGTGTCTGGAAACCAGTTACCAAGAAACTGTGGAACTGGGTCAGGGAGTATTTGCAACAGAGGCTGCTGGGTCAGCTGGCACCAACCTGCTAGGTTTGGTGGCAACACCAAATGACCTCTGGCTCCTGACCCCTCTGAGAGATATGTGGTGCCCCTTGGAACACACACCCACTGGCCCCAAGTCCACTGAGGTCATGTGCCCTGTGGGCAGCCTGCCTGCATCTACCTGGCCTTCGGGAGAGACCCAGCTTCTGCTTGGCAAGGCTGTGGCACACACTAGCAATGGCAATTCTGCCCCAGATCAGCAGAGTGTCCTGGGATGAGTCACACCGGCACCCTCTCGCCTTGCATCTGGGCCATTGCCGACATACCCTTGCTCGATCTGGCAACTTCTGCTTGAAGTCACAGGAAGAAAAACCCCAGGCCCTCACGCTGCCCTCTGGTGTTGTCTAGCCTTGCAAGAAGGGAGCCTGTGAGTCCTTGACCTTGAGTGTGTTCTGTCCTCCTGGCCCAGCTCTTTGGGATGTGGCCCCGCGCAGGGCTTGTTTTCACCTCTACCGGTGATGGTTAGCATTTGTGCTGCAGCGGACACTTTGGAAAGTTGTCGTGGGATCCAGGTTTTGAGCAGCTCACATGCTTGATGCGTGTGTGCACTCACTGTGACGCGCATCAGAGGAGCCTCTGCTGTGAGAACAAGAGCAGCACGCAGGGCGTAGCATGGCAGCTGGTGCTTCTGGTGTTCTGTGCTGGGGGTGGGGTGGGTGCTGTTGAGAGCCGAGACCTGGGTCCTTGGCTCAGCCTGTAGTCCATTAGTCGTCACGTCTCACCCATATGTAAATGAATGAGTCCCTGTGAGCTAGGCATGAGGGCAGAACAGGCGTGCAGGAGCTGGTGCCCGGCGCTAGGACCGTGAGGGGATGCTTTGCATTCCGAGAGAGGCCCCTTATCCTTGCGCCTGTTTGCTCCCACTCTGGCTGCAGCCACAGCATCCAAGCATGTCTGGGCCTTTGACAGCAGTCGACTCCACTCAGCTGCCTGGGGGCTCTGTGGTGGCAGGATTCTGAGCCCTCTGGAGCCAGGAACTCCCCCTGCCCAAGAAGATGAGCATTCCAGTCCTTGGAGACAGCAGCTTAGAGAACTGGCTTCACAACCAGTGGCCCCGATGCATTCCCACAGGCCCTTCCTTATAAATGGAGAAACTGAGGCACGGCACAGTGCAGTGACCCGCCCTGCCCAACAGGAACAGCTGAGCTGGACTGGGTTTCTAGGTCTGTTCTCCCTGCCTACCCACTCCCCGTAGCAGGTGCTGGGGGAGAGGGTTGCAGCATTGGGGCTTCCCCCCAGCCTAGGGTCCGGGCATCATTGGGTTAATCATTTTTGAAAGTGGAAGGCGACTCTTGGGCCACTGGAGCTCATGGCCTTTGTCCTCTCTCCTGCCAGCCCTGCCCCCACGCCCGCCACGCTGTCTTAGTCACCAGCAAACACTGGCCCCTTGTTTTCTCCGAATCCGGGACTCCAAGTGCAGCACACAGCATAGGCAGCATCAGCTTCTCAAAGTGGTTGGGGTTGCGTGATGAGCACTACAACGTCCCTGCTGGCCACAGCAACTGCCCCTGGCTGCAGTGGGCCAGCTTTCCTTGGAGGTCACCTTGCCCCTCCCTGGAGGGACCCACTGGAGCCCTTCTACACCAGAGAACCAGGAGGCTCTAGAGTGGCAGGGTGACAGCCCAGCAACCAAGGGAGGCTTCTTAGCCTCAAAACCATACCACTGCAGCATTCCAAGGTGTCCTCTCTCCCAGGATTCACCTGCCTGCTTTGGGGGCTGAAGCCGGGGAGGCTGAGGCCCCGCCGAGTGAGAGACTGACCTGGGGCAGTGGAGACACCCGTGCGGTGGGGTCCTACACATGTCCCATGAGGATGCTGTGGCAGGCCTGTCCTAGTTGCTGTTCTCATGAATGCGTGTTTTACTGGCAGAAAAATGCCTGGAAGATACACACAGGAAGGTGGCTGACTTCCAACGCCGCACTGTTTACCTTTGGCGCAGTGGCCAGGGACGCACAGAGCTTATTTTCCAAACAAGCCCTGGTTGTCAGGTCTACAGACTGTAGGCTGATGCCAGGTGGGGACGCCAGGGGCACCCCTCTGCCCACCTCCTGTTCCCAGCCCCGGGAACCCTGTGACTGCTCCTGCACAGACGTCTGCACCCTGGCGCTGCAGGGACTGCGAGGAAGCTCCTGTGGTGCAGCTGTCTCCGTGTGCAGCCGTCCTGGTCTCCCATGTGCTGTCCGTCTCAGCAGAGCCAGAGGTCCCAGCAGAAGCGAGTTGGGGTCTACAAAGTCAGGCTGCCCTTCCCCTCAGAGTCTGCACGTTCTGGGGGACGGGGTCGGGAGGGGAGGTGTATGGAGCCAGCAAGGAAAAACAAGGCCTGGGGTGTGGATGGGGGTGCTGGACCAGCTGGTGGCCCTGCGGGAGCCTTGACTGGCTGGCCTGCATCCACTTCCTCCTGCTAATGTGGTCTATGAACTTGGAGTTGCTGCTGGGAGAAGAGGGCTGGCTGCCCTTGGGGAAGAGTGGAGGGGGTGCGGTGAGGGGGCGTGTTTTGCCTCGTACATGGGCTGCTTGTCTGTCCATCACCATGGTGAGGGAAGAGCTTTCTTCAATGTTTTCTTATTCTGAAGTCCAAGGGATTTCTTCTTTCTTCCTAAATAGGGGAAATCCCGAAACTTCTTTCCTGGCGCACAGTGAAAGAGAGGAGTGAGGCCACCGGCAGGAAGGAACTGGCACATTCCCCAGGCTTAACAGGGAGACTGGGAGGATTGTTGCAGGGCCAGGCTGGCTCGAGGACGCAAGAGAGCGACCCTCGTCGCTTTCAAGTGTAGCAGGAACTGCATAGCCTAGAGGGGCCAGGCAGCTTTCAGAAATAAGGCAGGGCCCCCTGGACACCAGGGATGAGCACCATGACCCCTTGCTGCCAGTCCCACCTGTCTGCTGCTGCATGTGGCTGGCCTCAGTTGGCCTGTGAAGGGACCGCCAGCTGGCTCTGTAGGCTGGAGGTGGAGGACGCACAAGGGCGCCGGGGGACCCTGCACGAAGGGCATGGCTTTAGAGATGGGTGTGCGTCCTTACCCTGGTGCCTCCTCCACTGAGTCCCCGAACAGGTTGTGACCATTCCTGTGTTCCACTTGCCTCTTATGTCAAAGTCGCTTCTCTGTCTGTGGGTGGCAGGGCTGCACATAAGCTCCAGGCTCGCTGCCTGCTTGGACAGTCCGCCTTAGCTGTCATTATGGCGTCTCTGCTCACTACGTGGACACAGCCCCTGAGTGTGGGCGGGAGCCCCCCTTGGGGCGGGGATGGAGGCAGGCTGGGGCCTGTGGCCCTCTGGGACCTCAGCTGAGGCCAGTGGGGGGTCAGCCAGGTGCCGAGCTGGCGCCATGCAGGTAGGGGTGGCCGCGTGCCGACGGCAGACATCTGGCAGGTCAGGAAGTACCGTGTCAGGCCGCCCTGGCTGTTGGCAGGTGCTCCTGTCTTGGGGTCAGGTGGTACCGACTGTCAGCTGGCAGCTCTGTCTCCCCTGGGGCCTGATCTTCCCAACCCCATGTTCTTGAAAAAATAAAAACACATTCCGCGGTGGAGCAGGGCAAGCCTCGCTGAGTGGAACATGGAGAGGCCTGAGCTCCTTGTTCGCCGGGAGGCCTGGCTTCCAGCTTCTGTACTGCTGGATTCCGGAGCTGCCAAGCCCACCGCTCTGCGGAGAGGCTCACGGTTTTGTGGGTCTGAGTTGTGATCTAGCTGTGTGGTTTGCATGGGGTTCCCTGCCCTCTCAGAGCCCTGGTCTCCCTGGACATTCAATCATGTCCAGGGAATGCTTTTTGCATGCAAGCACTGTGCGCCCAGCTTGCTTGCTGTGCCTCTTACATGCTGGGTAGCTCCTCCTCTGAGCACTGCAGGCAGGCTTTGGCACTGTGTCGGGGTGTGTTGTGTGGCACCAGGGACTGAAGCTGTTCCTTGTGTCTGCCCTGCAGCTGAACCTCAGCCGGCCCATTGAGGAGCAGGGCCCTCTGGACGTCATCATCCATAAGCTGACCGATGTCATCCTGGAAGCCGACCAGAATGATAGCCAGTCCCTGGAGCTGGTGCACAGGTTCCAGGTGAGTGGGGGGCAGCAGAGTCACCCTCTGTGTGGGCGCCAGCAGTTCTGGGTGGGCACCTGGACAGGGCCCATGTTAGCCCATTTGTTACAGCAGAGCCCCCAAGGCTGGGGAGTGGATAATCAAGAGGTCCATTTAGCACGCAGGTCTTAGAACTTCAAGAGCATCACGCCAGCATCTTCTGGGTTCTGGCAGGGGCTCCTGGCTGTGTCATACACCGATGGGTGAAGGTCTGGTGGAGAGACGGGGAGCAGCAAGGGAGTCAGGCCTGCCCCTACATAGCAGCCCTCTTACTTGGTGAAGTGACTCTGAATCAGCACTAGTTTCTCCAACAGTAGTGCCTACCCTTCATGGGCCTTTGGGCACCCAGCCCAGCCACATGGAGGGTTAAGCTTCAACACCTGAAGTCCTGGCAGGCTCTGCCCACATCCCAGGCAGCAGAGTCCTTATCCACACTTGGAGAACAAGACCCCCCATCCCCACAGGGCTTAGAACTGAACCTTGTCTTGATGGTAGACCCCTGTGAGCATGGCTAGTGTGAGCCCTTGCATGTTCCCCGTGCTGTTTTCCCAGCAGCGTCTATGCACTGGCCCTGCAGTGACCTGGCAGTCTGGTGAGCGGCTTGGGGAGTCGCCGCTCCGACTTGCCCTGTATTTCCTCTCTTGTGGATGAGGATGAGACTCCTGGGATGCAGCTCAGGGGTCACTGGAAGCACGGTTATCTTAACAGCGAAAACTGCAGCCCTAATTGGGGTCCTTCCTAGCTTCCTTGTTGGTCTGGGGTGCTGGAGTATGTGTGCTTTTCTGGGTGATGGCAGGTTTGGATCCCGCCATCACATACATCCCCCTTCAAGGTCAGTCACCTGGAGCTCCTTCCCTCCTGCCCGGGGCTTCCACCTGCCTCCCATGCTGAGGCCCTGCTGCACGTTCCCGCTTGCTGCCTACATAGCCCAGCTAGATTTGCAGCAGCCTCCTACCATACCTGTCCTGGGGTGGGCTAACCAATCTGGCTCGCTGGCTGGTCTCATCCTGTCGTAGGCTGGCGGCTGTGGTGCTGGCGGGCTTGGCTCTCCTGTTGCCCACAGAGCCTCCGTTTTCTCAGTCGTGGGGTAGGTGGTAGTGATAGGAAAGCCTCCGGCCACACTGGGTGGAGTGAGTCACATGTTGCGTCTGTCAGGCATGCTCCCTGGGCCGTGAGCCCCGAGCTGGTGCACTCTGAGGGCTGTGTCATCCTGACCCAGTTCCTGCTGGGCACCAGGAGCACACAGAGGCAGGAAACATCTGCCCTGTGGACTGACTGCTGGCCGAGCAAGCCCCTGTCTCGTGCCAGGGCCGGGCTGCCAAGCACTCAGCTGTAGGTCACCCCACATCCAGTGGGATGTGCCAGGCAGGGAGAGAGGCAGAGAGAGCCATCCCCAGCTGCTGGTGCATTCCCCTCCTAGACCCACAACGCTGAGCGTGGGCACTCCATCCGGATGTCCCATATGGGCGGCAGAGGCTCAAGGATTTGGGCCATCACCTTCTGCCTCCCGAAGTGGGCATTACTAAGAGGTTATGGGATGCTGGCATCTTAACCTGTGGATGAGATGTTCATGTTCCGTGGGGACTGGCTCCCTGTTGCTTTTTGGTTCTCTGCCACGACCACCACCCAGTCACAGGTGGAGCATCTGTGAGTTTCCTCAAACCTGTCTGTATTAACTCATTTGTCCTGGTGATTAGTGGATGTAATTCTTCCCCAAATGCAGGTGGGTTAACAGGTGCAGCAGGGCTGGGTTAGACCCATGGCCGGCAGTAGGAGATTTGCATGGGATTTGAGCAGTACAGGTGGAGCCTTGCTCTGCCCTGTTCTGCCCATCCTTTCTGTTGCCTGGCAGGTAGATCAGAGCCCCTGGATTATGAGCCGCATGACCCCGCCCCCCAACCTCAGTCTCCTTGTCACTCAGTCATGGGTGCTGATGGCTCTTGCTACTTGGCACCGGCCGGTTGCTGGGAAGAGGTCTTAGGTATAAAGTGCCTTTGGCTTGGTGCTTGCAGCCGCTCCTGCTGCTGCCACTTCCGTTCCAGCCAGCACCATCCATCTGTGTCTTCTTAGATAAAGGACCAGAACTCCCAGCCAGCCTCTGAGAGTTGCTGACCAAGTACTCCCCGGAGGGGCAGCTCTCACTCCCCACAGCAGAGTGCTGCCCCTGCCCCATGTCGCTGTTCTGGACAGGGAAGGAACAGTATGGGCAAGGGAACGTGCGTCGGGGCCAGTCCCTGAGCCTGTCGCATCTAGGGCACAGCCCTAGCCGGCCCTCAGCCAGAGCCAGTGACCTCACGATGACCTCCAGCTCCGATATTTATTGGATCCATTTCCACCGTGCCTCTCTGGGAGAAGCCGGATCTCTGATAAGGCCCGGAGGTTTCCTTCTTTATAAAAAAGAACAATCCAGGCCATGGGGAACAGGCGGGGGCTGGCAGAACCTGAAGATACAGGGTGAGAGTCCCCATGGTGAAGGCTGGGGAAGGGCTCCTCACGGCCCCAGGGTGAGGTGCTTGAGGTGCAGGTTCAGGCTACACAGACTTGGGGAGGTTAGCACTTGACTTTGAGGGTGTCTTTTGTTTTTATTTGCAACAGAGGGGGAGAGGGATGCTTTGGGGAAGAGAGGGCGTGGGAAGAAAATTAAGATGCACCTGCCTGCCTTCCTGCCTGGGCGGTGGAGCAATCAGGTGGCTCGCCCCAGAAGGCAGGTGTCCAGGGTGCCTTCTCCAAAGGCACCTAGGGGAATGAGTTAGGGAAGAGGATCTCCCAGCTGCTCCCAACAGCCCTGAAGCACTCCATCTCGGGCTGCCTCCATTAAGCCCCTGGCTCCCCAGGGAGGGAGGGATTCCTGAGCCAAGAGGCAGTGCTGTATGCCAGCTGCCCTGGCAGCAGGGTGGGTGGGTGTCATACAATCCCACCCCCTCAAGGCTTTCTGTCTGTGATTGGCTTGGCCTGCAGACTCTGGGATGATTCAGTTGTTTTCTTGCTCCAAGGATCGTGCGGAGCCAGCAGCCTGGTGCCACGATGGCTCTGCCTGGGACTTGGTTATCAGCAAACAGACTCGGGCAAAGTTCCTTTGGGGCCCTGCCCATCCCATGGGGGAGTGGATGGGTCTGTGCCCCCATGCTCAGGGCCTCCAGCTGCAGAGCAGCGGGAGTCTCGGGCACCTAGTCACCTGCTAGGTGTGGCCACAGGTGTGGTGTGGTAGGCCTGGCTGTTTTCTCGCCCCCTCAGGGCCCTGGCAGGGTACAGTGGCCATGACCCACAAGGCATGTGGGTCTCCCTAGGACTTTCCCTAAACCGATGCTTTTCCAACTTGGTCAGCTGGAAGATCACTGATTGTCCTCCGGTGTTCCCTGGGTGCAGGTCAGCCTCAGCACCATCTCCAGAAGCTGCCTCCCTGGCATTGAGCACAGGGCTGAGCCCCCAGCTGGAGGGCGAGGCCTGTGGCCAAGCAGGAACCCCCACCTCAAACCCCAGGAAGAGGGTGCAGATCATTGCCTGTCCAGGCCCAAGAAAGTCTCACACTGTTGTATGGTGCCATGGGAGACAGTGACCCAGCCTCGCTGTGCCCATCCCCTCTTCCCTGCCACACTGGCCCTGCATGGCAGCTGCCTGCCTCGGTGCCCTTGCACAAGCTACAGCCTCAGCCCCAGTGCCCTTCTCTAAGGATGTGTTCCACACCTCCTGCCCTGGGCCCTCCCAACCGTGTGCAGGCCAGGAGGGTCTACAAGGTGTGGCTGTGGAGGTGGTGGGGCAAGGATGCCTGGCTGCTGGAACCAGGTCTCCGGGCTTTCGCTTGGCAGGTTGTGGGGCTTGGACTTTGTCCTGCAAGGGGCTGGGGAAGGAGACAGTGGCGATAAGAGCAGATAAGGGGTGAGGGACTGGCCAGCGCAGGTGCACACTGAGCAGGCGAGGACGTCGCTCACCTGGTGGAGCGTGGTTGTTTGCAAGAAGGGGAAGCCTGTGGCAGCAGCGGCTCCCTGAGATCGGAATGTCTTCCCCCAGTGCCACAGCTGCTGTGATGGTTGATGGTCAATGTTTAGCTGTGGGGAGTGGGTCTGGGAAGGTGGCCCTGGCTCTCAGTCCGGTGAGAAACAGCAGTGTCTGTCATCCTCTAGGTCCAGCTGGGAAAATAGCCTTAAGCTGGCCGACCTGTGCGATGTCCTTTGTCCTCTGAGACACATCCAGAGCCCCTCCTAGGCCTCCAGGCCTGTCTGCTGCCTGCCCTGCAGCCCACTGTGGGCGTTCTCCCCCAGCCGGGCTGTGCCAGCCACATGGGATGCCTGCGGTCCTCAGCCTGTCCGTGATTTGAGGGCATAGGGAGTGGGGTGACTTCTGTTGTGGTAAGGCAATTTCATCTGTGTGGCGGCCAGGCCTGGTTTAACAGAACAAGCCCTGCTCAAGGGGATGGTGGTTCGTGGGAAACCATGCACTAGAGGCAAGGACTTGGACAAGGGCTCTTGGGTGAGAAATGGGGTCTCTGGGTGATTGTGTCAACTCCAGAGGAAAATCTGATCAAGAGAGCCTCCTGGGTCATCCCCCGCCTGGGATAGGGGGTGTGGATGTGCACACGCATAGCTTGCCCCCCAACCCCCAGACGGCGGCGGCCCAGGCCATGTTCACTCACCCGGATGCATCTTTTCTCTGACTGCGTGGGCTGAGGCCTGGGTGGGCAGCAGACCTCACACTCCCCAGGACTGAGGCTCTGAATCCAGCACAGTACTGTTGGTTGCTTCTAGAAGCTGCGAGCTGGGCCCCATGCTGGCCTCAACAGGAAGTCAGGCCTGGTGGGGCAAGGCAGACACACCGAGCCCCAGCCTCCCTGGCCCTAACCAGAGTGTGCATGCTGTGCTTTCCAGGAGTACATCGAGGCCCACCCCGAGACCATCATCCTGGATCCCCTCCCCGCCATCCGGACCCTGCTCGACCGCTCCAAGTCCTATGAGCTGATCCGGAAGATTGAGGCCTACATGCAAGGTAGTGATGGTCAGGGTGGGCACTGTGGCAGGTTGGGCCAGAGGACTTAACCCTGAGTGCAGGAAGCAGTGAAATTCCAGATGGGCTGTCAGCAGCTCCAGTGACAGGGTTAGGGAGGGTGACGCTGATGGCTTGGGGAAAGGGGCTGGGTTCATGTTGCTGCTTCAAATCCCAGAGGTGGTGACAGAACATTGCTATGGCATGTGGGCTTGGCATGCGGGAGCATGGCAGGTGGGCCAGCAGTTATGTAATCCAGAGAAGAAGATAGGCAGACAGCAGTCACCTTGGGTCAAGCACGCTGAGATTGGGCTTGCCTTGTGTGCACTGCACAGGGCAGGAGTCTCCTTTGTCCCCTGCAGGTGCACTTGGGGCTTCCTGCTCCAGCCTCGGTCCTGGAGACACCAGCCCTTTCCTGTGAATGCCCATAATTATTCTTGCCATTCCCTGGACTAATTACAGCAATCCCAGCAGCGTACTCTGGTGTGGGGGAGGGGTTCTGGGGGAATCTCCTTCAAATTGTCACTGTCCCCAGGCTGAGGTGGTACTTCCTGGGGGATAGCTGGGGAGGCTGCATCAGGGCTGCTGGGCTCCCGGTGGGTGGGCACATGGGGAGGGGTGGTACACACACAGGAGGACAGCTGTGAGCATCCCCTGTTCCTGTCTCTTGAGAAGGAGGTCTGGAAGCCTTTCCCACATCTTTGGCAAGAATTCACAGGTTGAACTGTAAGCAAGTTGGAAGATGGAGCTCAGCTTGGGCAGTCACATGCCCTGCTCAGATTCAGGAGTTTTGTAACCATAGAAGTGACAGTGAACCTTGGAGGACCACTGGCAAGAGTGCCATGTCACCACCCAAGACATGGGTTGACCCTGGGACACCGCAATTCCCATGGGCAAGTGACCAGGCCTGTGATCCCAGTGACCTAGCCCAGAGTACCTGGGCTGTGCGCCCCCCCAACCCACCCATGAGTGGCTATGGGAACGGCTAGCACCCACAGCCCTTAAACAGAGAGCTCCGAGCCTGGATCCTCTGGGGACCCAGCGTGGAAGTTATTGGAAGCTAAGCACCATCTGGTCCTGGTGTGGGGGAGGGGAGAAGCTGCAGGGATATGTCTCTGCCAGCCAGCCCCCTCTGCCACCCAGCACTGGGACCCAGAGGAAACCCCAGGGCCTGGGCCTAGCTCTGCCACCTGACTCTGGGTGATCCTGGACAAGGCCCTTGTGGCTCCTGGGCGTGTTTTTGATGCCTGGGTCTGTGTGCTTGTGCCCAGGGGAGCAAGTGCGGGGGATCTCGGGCAGCTGGCTAGAGACCTCTGCCGACCCCAGGTGATGAGGGGTGTCGCCTCCCTGGCCCCTCCTGCTCACCTGCTCCGGAGGTGCCAGATGGCCTGTGCAGGGCGCCAGGCCTCCCCAGAGAGGGCACACACAGCTTATGGGGATTTAATCAGGGCTTGGGTGGAAGCTGTGCTGCTGGGAGGCTGCGTAGGAGGGGGTCAGAAAGAATCAGCCCAGCAGGGCCCCCCTCTCTCTCGTGTGGGAAGTGGGGTTACATTCAGAGGTGGGAGATGCCCAGGGCTGTGGGTCGGGGATGGGGCTCAGCTGGCCTCTGTCCCCAGTGGCCACATGGCACCAGGCAGCAGCCTGTAAAGACACTGTGCTGCAGAATACTGGTAGCTCCTGGTCGAGCCATGGAGGCAGGGCTGGTGTGGGAACCCACCCTGACCTGGCATGCTCTTGGTCGGGGTTGGGGTGGGGACCCCCATTTCAGGGGTGAAAGCAGGGAGGATAGGCCCCGGGATCTGTGACACACAGCAGGTTCAGCCCCGTCCAGCTGAGCACACGGGAGGCCCCTCACCCCTCTGTCCTGGCGCTTTCCCAGACTGGAAGTGGGTAGGTGTGTATGCGCGGTCTACTGGCCTCACTCTAACTCCCACCTCATCTCCTGGGTTTACAGCTTTGAAGCCATGCTTCTAGACCCTTCTCACACACATAGAAACAGACACATGGGTCACGACAGAACCTGTGTTCCTGCCTGAGGACACATACAAGCTTCTCCCCACACTGGTACCAGGAGACGTGGTGGGACGAGAGCTGCGCTTTTTGATGGCTGTGTAATATTCTAGTATTCGAGCCCACAGCTCCTACTGTGTTCTGTGATGCTGGACTCAGTGCCATCCCAGCTATTTGGCTCCTTCTTTTAAACAAACCAGATACCATGGATAGGCCTTCCCTCATGCAGACAGATTCCACCAGCTGCATGGGGGAGCTGGCACCCCACTCTCCTGATTTGCAGCCTTGTTGTTGTCCTTCGCCGGGTGGCAGCTCTCTGTGTATTTCTGGGGTGTCTGTGTCTCTCCTGCAAGAGGATCTTCCTGGGGTGCTTGCCCATTTCTGCCAGGTCATTGCCCTTCTGCCTGTTGGTGGCTCAGAGCCCTTTCAGTGCACAGACTGTCACCCTCTATTGCAGAGCCCAGGGTCCAGTGACACACATTGGCATCGCCTTTGCCACATAGCCTCACAGGTCTCCTACTTCCAGAGTGCTGGGAGCCTCTGGGGCCCCTGGGGAGCTGCAGCTGCGGGTGGGGGAGGGGACTCAGCAGGGAGCATCTGCCCTGCAGGCCGGAAGGGGCTGTCAGTCTAAGAGCAGCTGCTGGGCATTTGGTCCGTGTTCCCAGCAGCCACCTCGCGGTGCAGTGTCTGCAGCTCCACCGGCGTCTGTGGCTGGCTCCTCTGCTGTCAGCCTTTGGACACTCCGGGGATGAGTGGCCGTCTGGCCCTGAGACAGGAGACGGTCACTCACTGGGTCAGACAGCAGGAGAGCCATTGTCCTGCTGACCACAGCACGCATCATCTGACCCTGTCTGCCCCAGCCTGTCCTGCCCTCAGCCGTGCCCTCCACTGGGATGTGGGCTACTGCCCTCTTCCTTCACTGTGTCCCTGCCCTGTGTCTTCTGTGGCCGGGCAACTCCCTGAGGGTCAGGCTGCTGTCAGGGGGGCCCTCGGGCCTCTCAGAAGTCTGCAGTGAGCTAAGATGAGGCCCTTCAGCCCCTGGGGAAAGACAGACTGAAGAATCCCGGTGTGTGTGATGGTGTGGTGACAATGCCTGGGCAGCCTGAGCCTTGAGGTGGGTGAGGAGTAGGCTCCCCTGCACCCTGCTTTTTGTTCTGTTCAGGCCCCAGGCCTGCTGGGAAGGGCCATCCCTGACTCACACTGACCTCATCACACACACCCAGGACAAAGTACATTCAGTCACCTGGACAACCAGTTGCCCAGTCAGGACCCCGCCATGCACCTCCCCACCTGCATGGGACCCACGGGCTGCTAAGCGCGGCTGCACAGTGGAGACTGGCTGTGGGGGCGGAGGGAGGAGCTGCGGGCGCTAGCAGGGCTTAGGCTGCTGGAGGTGTGGGGTGGGAACTGGATGGTGAGTGGCGCCCAGTCCTGCCCCGCCAGGAAAGACTCGATTCCTTGTGGGCACTCGCCTGTGGCCTGGAGCCCCCGAGCCACAGGCAGCAAGGGCCCTCTCTCCTCCCCGTCCCCCAGGACTGCCTTCAGGACACCTTACTAGATACTCATGGTAACAAAACCAACTGAGCTGATTACTTGAATTTGATCTCATTCAGGGCTAGTAATGGGCCTAAACAGACACACATCCTTGTCTGAGTGGCCCAGGTCCCCCTGCAGATCCAGTCCTGCCCTCGGGGAACCCTTGGGTTCCTAAGCTGGCGTGCCAGAGCTGCCGTGGAAGCTGCTGGGGACCGGCTGTGGGAGCACTGGGAAGTCACTTCTGCAGAGCTGAGCCAGGGGCAGAGCCCCAGGGCTGGGGCGGAGGCCTGGGTGGCCAGAGCCCCAGGGAAGGGCACAGCTGGAGTGCTGCCCGGAGCCTTGGGGCCAGGGGCGGTGACCAGGATGTGGATGTGTAGTGGTGAGCTCAGGGAACGCCCAGCACAGGCCTAGGCCCTCGCAAGTCCATGCAGATCAGGAGTGCGCCTGCCTGTGACTTCACCATTGGGTGCGGCCGGGCAGCAACAGCGACCAGTATACCTTCATTGCTGTGTTGTGAGCCGCCATCAGGCTACATCGTGGTTCACACAGGATGCATGGACCGTGCTTCCCCGCGCAATTCAGGAGCCGGCTAGGGAAGGTGGCTTGGGTGCTGGCTCCTGCATCCTGCTGGCTGCAATCCTCCAGGCTGTTCCAGACCAACAGCGCCCTGTGGTGGTGAAACAGAGGCATTGCAGGCCTCTTGTTTTCCTTCCTGCAGTCTCCAGTGCTGGCAGACACTGATGACCACCTTCACCTGCCCACAAGGAACAGGCAGCTGATTTACTGAAATCTACCTAATAGAACATGGGAGGCGCCCAGCAAGGTGGCCATGCAAAGGGGACGGCATCCAAGGGAAGCTTGTTCCAGAGAGCCCAGAACCTCAGGAGATCCTCAGAATGGCAGGTGGTCACCCCGTTTCAGAGGAAGGAGGTCCCGGGGAGGGGCAGAGAGGTGATCATGCCACTGGAGCTGGGGTTTGCCTGGGAGTGACAGCAGGGGCTTTAGCCGGCTGGGCTGGCGGGTGTCTGCCAGGGCTACTGCAGGGGCGTCTGACACGTGACTGAATACATCGTCCTGGTGTTCTGCCGAGTGCAAAGACAGGCTTTCTCCAGAGGTCTCTTTCCTTGGCTTGGGGTGCCGCCTGCTCTCGGGTTTCATTTGCCTCCTGTGTGTATGACTGCTCCCTGTCCCCTCATCTTGGTCAGTCCTCCTGGAATAGGCCCACCCTGATGACTTGACTTTACCTCCTCAGAGCCCTTTCTTGGGGACAGCTTTGTGGCATGGCAGGTTAAGCTGCCACCTACAATACCAGCATCCCATAGGGGCACCAGTTTGTGTCCCTGCTATTCCACTTCTCATCTGGCTCCTTGCTCATGTCCCTGGGATAGCAGCAGAGGCTGGCCCCGTACCCACTGCACAGACCTGAAAGAAGCTCCTGGCTTTAGCTTGGCCCAGTCCTGGCCTTTGCAGCTGTTTGGGGAGTGACCCAGCCTGTCTGTCATGACGGGGGACATGCTGTCCATGAGGCAGCTGGGAGATACAAAATCCCCTGAGAACGCCAATGGCTTCACATGCTCTAAAAGCAGAATTAGAAAGGCAAATCCAGTTACAATGCCACTGTCAGGATGCGGCCCGGCATGTGCTGGGCCCTGGATGCACCTGTGGCCGGCCTGCCTCCCTGTGGGTCCCCACGCCAAGCACCTGCTACGTGTCAGGCCTTCCAGGAACCCCTCGGGAGGTGTTTCTCCTGTTTTACAGCAAGGGGAGAATGGTTGGCACAGCTACCTCAGGTTTCAGACCTCAGTGTTCTTATGGGGTCAGCGTGGACCCTGGGGTGGGGTCGTCAGCGCAGACCCCATAGGGCGCCAGACATGCACCAAGAGCCAGCCGCACCTCATGCTCCTCCAGGGGTTGTGAAGCCCACTGAGTTCTCGGTGGAGAGTGGAGGCAAGGTGGTCTGTTGCGGGCCTTTGGTTTAGCAGTTAACAGTTCTTGCATCCCACGTGGGAGTCCCAGGGTAGTGTTCCAGCTCCGGCTTCTGACTCCGTTTCCTGCTAACGCCGTAGCAGCAGCTCAAGTAGCCAGGTTCCTACTTCCAGCACAGAAGGTCTGGATTGAGATCCCAGCCCAGTCTTAGCCATTTGGGGCACTGGTAGGATAAACCAGTGAGTGGAAGTTCTCTCTTTCTCACTCAAATAAACAAAGAAGCCCATCTTTTCTCAGTCATGCCTAAAATAAAGATGAAGACAGGTCCGTCCGTTTCCGTGGGTGTCCTTACGGGCCTGTGCTGTTACACGGCTGTCACGCTTGCCGTGGAGTGACAGTGATACTGCCGGCCACCCATAACATCTAGGACAGTGGTGGGAGGCAGTCTCTAGCGGGCTGACCGAGTCCCCCTCTCCGCAGATGGCAGGATCTGCTCTCCGCCCTTCATGGAGCTCACCAGCCTGTGCGGGGACGACACCATGAGGCTGCTGGAGCAGAATGGCCTGGCCTTCCCTTTCAGTATGTACCCGGGACGGGCTGGGGGCGGGCACAGGGCCTGGGCTGTGTTCCCCTCTGCCTGGGTGGCCCTGGGTCCCTCCTCCACCAGCACCCCCTGGGGAGCCCTGTGCATCCTCGTGGTGTGAGCAGTCACTGACCACGCAGGGTCCTCCTGGGTCGGCCAGGGGGAGCTCAGCAGATAAACGACTCACTGTTCCCACTCTGCCTTTCTTTTCCATCTGCAGTTTGCAAAACCAGAGTGGCCCATGGCACCAACTCTCACGAGGTGAGTGGCACATTGCCCTGTTCCCATCCCCTGCCTTTCCTGCCAGAGGTCTTGCTGCCTCCCTGCCTGCCCCGAGCGACACAGGAAGGAACAGTAGAAACTTTGTGGTTTAGTGCTCTGACTTGACCTTGGCTGCTTCCCGTTCTATCCCCCAGGCCACAAGGCTGTGCTGGCCTTGGCCAGCTTGGCTGCCACAGTCCAGCCCCAAGGGGACACCTAGAGGTCACAAGGCCACCGCCGGGGTGCTAGGGAGGGAGGTAGATTCCTGGTGAGAGACCTCTGCCTCACAGACAACTCTTGCCCATGACCTTCTGTGGATTCCTGTCATGTTCTTTGTGGTCAGAGCCCCAGTGGGCATGCTACCCTGGGAAGGCACATGGGGGCAGCCCCTTGAACCTAGCCTGCTGTCAAGGTCAGGGGCTCCTAGGACCAAGGAGCCCTTGGAAGGTACAAGGCTTTCCTGTCAGGCAAGGAGAGGAGGCAGCCGCCTGTCCAGGCCCGTGGGCAGAGGCACTGGCTCCCGGGTCGGAGGTTGGCACTCTGGCCAGTCTTGCATGGAACTGGATGACGTACTTGGATCCCTGGGCTCTCCGGAGTCGCGAAGCAGTCCTCACGTCCCTGGCTGGGGGCTGTGGACAGTGTGGGGAAGGGTGCGCCCCTGGCCCGCCCCTGAGATTCCACACCCTGTCTCCCCAGATGGCCATCGTGTTCAACCAGGAGGGCCTGAGTGCCATCCAGCCACCGTGTGTGGTCCAGAACTTCATCAACCACAATGCTGTCCTGTACAAGGTGTTTGTGGTGGGCGAGTCCTACACCGTGGTAGAGAGGCCCTCGCTCAAGAACTTCTCGGCAGGCACTTCAGGTACCCACCCCGCTCGGAGGCACACTGGGGCTGTGGGGCTGTGGGGCAAGGGAGGAGGGGATGGGCTGCACAAGCTGTGTACATGAGTGGTTGGAGAGGGGTCTTGGGGACCAGCAAGGGACACCTGGCTCACCCAGCTACATCTAGGAAGCCCCTGTAGGTTTTCTCTGCCCAGGACACCTGAGGCCTACAGGAGAGGGAGGGTCCCATGCTGGCGGCTCCATCCTCCATTCATTCTCTCTTTCGACACTGGGAGGCAGAGCCTAGGAAACTGCCACCCCCACAGTCACGTTCAGGATGGCCAGCTGCTGGATGATAAGGACTCCCCGGTGCAGGCCCTTGGGCCACAGGGGACCCCTCCCAGCAGTCCATCAGCCACAGATGCTCACCGGGCATCCCCTGGAATCCCTTCTTCAGTGTTGGTGCTCCCAGGTGCTCCTGTCGTTTGGGGTGCTGGAATGACGAGGGGTAGGTACCCCCTGGGCTCTTCCCTGCTCAGCCGCTCACCTGCTTCAGGCACAAGTCCTTGGCTGGTCCACAAACCTACTCCGAGGAACATTCTGGGTGTTGAGCCTTTGCTGCAGTCTCCTGGTGCTGTGGCACTGTAGCCGACTCTCCTGGGGTCCCCTTGGAGGAAGCTGGCTCCCCTGGGGTGATTAGTAGAGGGCATGGCACAGAGCATGCTGCTGTCTACACAGGAGCCCCCCGGCCCCAGGTGTGCATGGACCACCCCGTCTCCACCCCGGCAGGTGGATCCATGCCCCTGCAGCCCCTCTTCCTGGGACTGCCTGTCGCTGTCCATTCCCCCCGAGAATTGAGATCAGCTGTCATCTGCACCCTGACTCCTGGGTGACTCCACTTCCCACTGACATGGTCTTGGGAGCCGTGTGGCTCTTTGTATCTCAGCTCAGGCCAGGCCGCCTTCTCAGGGCTCGTGACAGCCTAGCCCAGCACAGTGCCTGCCCGAGACCAGACACCGCCGAGGAGAGACCTCTTCCCATGGGTGGGCCAGAGCTTAACTCGTACAGAAATCCTTGGGGGGTTTTTCCTTTGAAAGCAGAGAAAGGGAGATAGACATCCTGTCCCTTGGTTCACTCTAACCCAGGAACTCAATCCGGGTCTCTTGCGTGGTGACAGGGGCCCAGCACTTGAGCCCTGCCAAGGTGAGCGTTGGCAGGATGCTGGAGTCAGCGGAGCCGGGACTTGAACCTGGGCACTGTGCTGTGCTGGGGGTCGTCCTAAGCATCCTAACCACATACATGGCTCATCCCCTTGGTTTTTCTTAGACATTTGCTCTAGCTCTATGGGAAATGCCTTAAATTAGGAGTTAGTCTTATACTAACTCCCTTCTCTTTTCTTCTTTTACCCAAATGATTCCATCTCTGAAGCTTAACCACCAGATCTCAGATTTTTTTTTTTATTTACTTTTATTGGAAAGTCAGATTTTACAGAGAAGAGAGAGAAAAGATCCATCCACTGGTTCACTCCCCAAGTGGCCGCAGCAGCTGAAGCTGAGCCGAGTGAAGCCAGGAGCTTCTTCTGGGTCTCCCACACGGGTACGGGTTCCCAAGGCTTTGGGCCGTCCTCCATTACTTTCCCAGGCCACAAACAAGAAGTCCATGGCCACGTATTGCTCAGGGGCAGAGCCTGAGGGAGAGACTCCTGTCTGGGTGTCTGTCAGTGCATGCCCTAGTATCTCCCTGGGGTGCAGGGGCTCCACCCACAGGGATACCCTCACCCCCAGCACCGCCTTTGATCACCAAGCCAGAGGCACCCAGCCTGTGATTGGCAGGTGCTGCCCTCTGGTGGCAGCTGGCCGGCACATTCGCTGCCTTGAAGTTCTCACTGGGGTCCCTGTCTGTTCTTTTTCCAGACCGCGAGTCCATCTTCTTCAACAGCCACAACGTGTCCAAGCCAGAGTCGTCGTCCGTGCTGACCGAGGTGAGCGCTTGCACCTGGCCTTCTCCTGCACATTCCAGACCAGGCCTGCTCTCACCTTGGGCAGCCCCAGCAGTATATCTGTTCTCTGTGGATTTATGGCTTCTGGGAGGAAGAGTAGCATAGAGGACCATGGTGTGGGCGGGGCTCTGGAGGGGTATCCTTGTCCCTCAGGATTCCCATCCCAGCCCAGCTGCACACATTATTTTAAATTGAGGTGAAATTCATGTGTGTGAAATCAGTTGTTTCCAAGTAGATGTTTCGGTGGCAGGGGTACATTTACATTGCCAGGGACTGCCACCCTTCTTGGGATCCCAAGCATTATGGCATAGTGGGCAAAGCTGCCACCTGTAATACCAGCATCCCATACGTGTGCTAGTTTGCATCCCAGCTGTTATTTCTGATCCATCTCCCCGCTCATGGCCTTGGAAAAGCAGCAAATGGCCCGGGTATTTGGGCCTCTGCCGCCCACATGGAGACCCTGATGGAGCTAGCCCTTGACTCCTAGCCTGGTCAAGGCCTGGCCATTGCAGCCACCTGGGAAGTGGACCAGTAGATAAAAGATCTCTCTCTCCTCTCCTGCTTCCATGCTGTGTAGCTCTTTCAAATAAATGAAGAAGGCAGGGGAGCCCTACCTCCCCCCAGGGCCTTACCTGAGGTCTGAGGCCTAAGCTGTCTTGGGCACTGCATAGTGAGAGACGTGAGGGCTGTGACCATCTGGCAGCAGGCTGCTGTTGCTTCGTGTAAAATACAGTTTTAAAACCTATTTATATTTGAGCAAGCAAGCTCTGGTTGCTGGTTCACTCCCCAGGTGTCCTCAGGGGTCAGGGCTGTGTTGAGACCAAAGCCGGGAACTGCCAGTTCAGTCCAGGTCACCTGTGTGTCAGTATGTTGGCACACAGCTGGGACCTAAGGCACACCCGGGCACCCTAATGTGGGCTGTGGGGGTCCCAAGTGGCCTGGTACCCGCCCCCATTTTGACTTTTTCTGGCCCAGCTTTGCCCTCCTCTGCCATTGACCAGTCTCCACTTCCCTTTGGCTCCTGGAACTCTAAGACTGAACAAGCATGGCATCTCTGTTCAGGTTGTGCCCTAGCCGCTTCTGCCAGCCTGGCCTCTACTGTTCCCACCTCCTCCTGGCAAGTCTGGGATGGAGGTCGTGTTGGTCCCATTTTACAAATGGGCAAACTGAGGCACAGAGCGGCCTGCTCTTTTTTCCCTGAGTCTGCAAAGCTAGGAAGTCGCTGTCAGGTTTCCAGACTCCAGAATCCTTGCTCTCCTTGGAGGCCATGACCAGGGGCCTGTCCCAGGCCAGCTAAGGCCGGAATAGGGGGGAAGTCCTGTGGGCTGTGTTTCCCCAGGGGTGTCCCAGCCGGAGCCTCGCAATCACAGGGCAGCAAGGCAGCAGGCCTGGGAGTGCTTGCATCCTGGGGTCGGAGAAGAGAGTCTCTGGTACAGCCTCGCGCCTCCTCTTCCACCCTGGGCCTGATCCCCTGCCCTGTGTGTTGGCAGCTGGACAAGATTGAGGGTGTGTTTGAGCGGCCGAACGACGAGGTCATCAGGGCGCTGTCCCGCGCCCTGCGGCAAGCGTTGGGCGTGTCGCTGTTCGGAATCGACATCATCATCAACAACCAAACAGGGCAGCACGCCGTCATTGACATCAACGCCTTCCCAGGTGAGCGGGCACCACCTTCCCGCTTGCCCAGGTGTGCAGCCAGCTTCACTTTTCCCCATGGGGCCTGGGCTGAGCACTCCCCTGCTAAGCCTCAGCCCCACCTGCAGAATGGGCGCATAGCGGGAAGAGGTATGGACACATGGCCTGCAGGTGCAGGTGGGCATGGCCCACAGGGAATCCCCATGGGATGCACTGGGCAAGATGGAAGGCAGCTCTGAGGTCCCCGGAGATGATCACCCGGTTGTCTCCGGGCACCCTGGGGCAGTGTAATTGGAGTCTTGCGTTTCACATGCGTGAGAGGAAACAAGGAACTGAGGGCAGGATGGGGACAGTCAGAGGGAGTGGCACCGGGAAAAAGGCAGGGTCGGGATGGGGGATGGAGTACACGTTCTAGAAGGAAGGAGGTGGCAGGCCTGCAAGGCTACCAGCCTTCCAACACCACCAGCTGACCACAGGGGGCCAAGGGCCATCTGGGGTCGGAGGAGGGGAATTCCCTGCCAGCCAGCAGGGACAGGAAGACTTCTTCCATAAGGCATGAGAAGGGCCACCCAAGCACAGTGGAGCCAAGGTCTGTGTATGCCAGAAGGCAGGATGAGACTGCCTGGCATGACTGCTAGAGCTCCTAGCCCCAGGGGATTCTGCCCCAGCCACATGGCATCCTGCTGTTTGCAGGGGGACTTGCCCATGACACTGGGAATGATGCCAGGTACCCCTGTGTGTCAGGCCTCCCTGGGGCCAGGGATGGGATATGTGGCATGAACAGAGGAACTGCCCATGCTGCAGCACATTGGGTGGGTGGGTAGCATTCAGTGAGATGGTGGCTGGGGTCCCAGGTGGGCTTCTCTCAGTCCACACCCCGGGGGCAGGCAAGGTCATGTGCACAGAGATTGAAGCAGGTAGTATGGTGTCCATGAGCGGGACCCAGGTGCAGTCAACACTCCCTCACACACTGGCTGACCCAGTGCTGTCCGTGTCTCCCCTCTGCAGGCTACGAGGGCGTGAACGAGTTCTTCACAGACCTCCTCAACCACATCACCAGCGTCCTGCAGGGCCAGAGCACAGCAGCCGCCACTGCCCCTGCCCCGGGGGAGGCGGCCCCGCTGAAGCACAGCAGGATGCTGGCAGAGCAGGCGGGCGGCCCGGTGGCCGAGCGGACGTCCGAGCAGCGGGCATGCAGTGCCAGCCCTAGCTGCTGCAGCCTGCTGGGCCAGGACACCTCCTGGACCACAGAGGCAGGTGCGGGTGGCACAGCCAAGCTGCCGCACCAAAGACTCGGCTGCACCGCTGGCGTGTCGCCCAGCTTCCAGCAGCACTGTGTGGCCTCCCTGGCCACCAAGGCTTCCTCCCAGTAGCCCTGGAGCCTGGGGGTACAGAGCCTACCCACTGTGGGAGGGGGGACCCTCCTCCCCGATTCCCAATGACGATCTGACTCTGCTCTTTTTTAATCTGTAACCTGACCTTCTGGTGTCGTGATCCGGCGAGGGGGAGTGGGGAAGGTGCAAGACCCACAGGCCCCACCCCCCCGTTCTGCCTTGTGGGAGGAAGGGGGCTTCCGCCTGACTCCTGCTGTGTTTACACACGCGTGCGTTTTCAACACTAGGGCTGAATGTGAGTGGGTCTGCACGTTCGCATGGGTGTGTGTCCAGGTTGGCCCACAAGGCCACAGGGGACCCCAGCCAGGCTGCTGGTGCTGGACGGAGCCAGTCCGTGAATGGTTCCTCCTCCTGCTGTTCTCCCAAGACCCCACCCCGACCCTTCCTTGCTTCCCCAAAGCCAGTGTGCCCGGTGCCAGAAGGCCCCCAATGGGCCAAGGCTGTGGCTGGCTGTCACACTTCATGACTAGCACCCTGGGGCCACCAGGCCCCTCCGTCCTGCGTAGCGGATCTCCTTTCTCCAATCCCCATTCTGCCACTCACTGGAACCCAGGAGGGATGCTAGCATGGGTGGGAGCCCCAGGGGGTGCCTACTGTACCCAGGTCAAGGTCTGTGACCCCGGGGCTGGCCTGGCGCTCCTGCCCGAGTGCTGCATCTTCTGCCTGCCCTGTGTGGTCAGTTGGACAGAGACAGGCACAGGAACCTGGACATGGCACCATGGAGCACAGGGGTCCTCCCGGGCATGCCGGAGCCACCTGCGGTGCCCCTGGCACACCCTAGGCACTCAGTCAGCCAGGAGTAAGGCTGTTTATCCCCCACACTCCCTCTTCTGAGACTCACCACATCACCACAGCAGTGACAGAGAAGGGACCAAGTGGGGAGCAAGGGGCTTCGGGGTCCCTGAAGACGTGGGACCCTGTGTGAGCTGCCCAAGTGTGATTTTGCATCCTGGGACATCAGCTGGGTTGCAGTCCAGTGAGACGAGGATGCTGCGAAGAGCCCCAGCTATCCCCAGAAAGGTTGCAGCCTGGCAATGCCCACAGTCTGGTTGGGCAGGGAGGGCCTGGGCCCAGTGTCGGGCAGAGCTCATCAGAAGTGCCCAGCTCCCTTGGTGGTGAGGGCCCGGCAGCTGCCCATGTTCACCTGCCTCAAGTGCTGCCCCCCCCCCGATGAACGTGTGTGTGTCACCTGTCCCAGGTCTGCCCTGAGCCCCGGGACACAGGGAAGTGTGGCCGGCCTCTTGCACTGCTTTGTCTTCAAAATAAACTACTGAAATCAAGTTACATCCCACATGTGTCTGCACCACAACAGCCCAACCTTCTGGAAATAAGACCCCAGTCCCCTTCTGCCTTGGGAGCAACCAGTGTTCCACCTGAACGCTGCAGCCTTGTCTTCCCTTCTAATTTGTCTTTTCCCCGGGGTCAAGCAGGTCACGTCCAGGGCCCTGGTATCTATTCCCCATCTTCTGGTGACTCCACATTTTCTGCTCGCCTCCATGCGAGTGGGGAGCAGGGCGAGCCCACATCCAGAGTGCAGCATCGCCTCAAAGGCCTAGGAGCATGTTGGAAGGGTGCCAGGCTCATCCAGGCTGGGGGTAGCGTCCAGCAAGCTGCAGGGCTCTGCCACTAGTACAGACACCCTTGGCATGTCTCCTGACCAGGCTGTGAGAGCCCTGTTTTCTAAGTGTCACCTGGCACATGCTCGTTTATGTGGGGTCAGAACATTGTACATGGAATTTTTCCCTGAGGCCCTGGGGACCCCACATCTAAATCAAGCTTGGCCTTGGCACTCACTTCCCCAAGATGCAGTAACTGCAGTTTCCTGGGTGGGAGCATCAGGGGTCCCCGCAGTCAGAATGCAGGTGGGCCACAGGAGGCGCTCAGGGTGCTGGCATTGACTCAAACCAGGTGACCAGATGGCTGTGGGAGCAAAGGGCAGGGCCACATTCTGGGTCATGGCCAGGGGTCATCCTAAGCAGAGGCCCTGGGTCAGGTTCTGCCTGTGGTGCTGGCATTGGAAGGGGACCCCACAGGCCTCTCTCCAGGATAAAGCCAAGCCACAGGTTCCCCAGCTCGGCTGTGCTGCTCTCCTAGCAACCTTGGTCCCGGAATCCAACAGTGTTCCTAATGTGGCCCTGAAGTGGGCTGTGCTGCCCCCTGCCGGATGCACATGGCCACCAGGGGTTGCCGTGATGGGTTCAGCGTACCTGCTGCACGGGAAGCATTTTGTGTATGTTGTGTGTGTGTGTGTGTGTGTGTTTTAATGGGTTTTCAATTTATTTGAAAGGCACAGAGAGAGAGAGAGGTGGAGGTCTGTCATCCACTGATTCACTCCCTCAACTGCCCATGGCAGCCAGGGCTGGGCCAAGCAGAAGTCAGGAGCCCAGAACTCAATGTGGAGCTCCCATGTGGATTAGCAGGGAGCTGGGAGGGAAGCTAGATTTCCTAATATAGGATGCCTGTATCCCAGCAGGCAACCCTGGATGCCTTACCCAGCTTAGGCCAGGCCTTGTTCCGGCCATTGCTGTATGAGCAGACCCATCAGGCACAAGCCAGCTGTGCAGAAATGTTAGCACAGCTCAGTTGTGGGCCCTGCCACCCAGCTGGTGCCCAGGAATCCAGTGCAGCCTGCCCCTCTTGGCCAATAGTTTTCTGGCTAATGGGCTTTGCTTATTAACCTGGCCTTGACTTTGACCAGTCATGTCGCCTCCTCTGCCTCAGTCTCCTTGTTCCTAAAACAGCAACTGAATCCTAGTGCATGTGCTAGGACTTCGGGCACTACCCCCACCCCTGCCAGTCCTGTGCATGGATCAAGCCAGCGGTGACCATGGAGGAGGAGGGAGGACATGTGCCAAGGTGAACAGGTCCACAGCTGGCCTGGTACTGCATCCCGTGACAGGCTGTCGGGGGCTCTCTGGGCCTTTACCCAGTGTCATAGCAGATAAGGGGACATAGGCCAGCAGGCTGTGTGGCCTAGCTCAAGGACAGCTGAGGAAACAGCAAGAAGCGCAGGGCCTTGGCTCCTCATTTCATCCCGACACTTGAGGCAGGGTGGCTGCCCCTTCCCTGATGGAGGTGGGAAGAGACCGGGGCCTGAGGTCCCACACCTGCCAAGTGGCCCAGCTAGGATGGCCCCCTTCTGGGTTCCAGTGGTTGCGGCCTGCCACATCTCACAAGTGTGAGGGTTTGAGTCCCAGCTGCTCCACTTCAAATTTAGCTAAAGCCTCGGGTCCCTGTACTCACACGAGAGACCCAGATGGAGTTCCAAGCTCCCAGCTTCACTCTGGCCCCGCCTCAGCCATTATAGCCCACTGGGAGGATAGGCCAATCTCTGTCTTCCTCTCTCTGACTCTGCCTTTCAAATAAGTAAATTTTAAAAGCGGTGCGGAGGGAGGGGCCCCAGATGGAACAGACTCCTTATCCATCAGCTCAAATCCAAGTGCAGCCCTCCCTGCTTGGAGCTGAGAAGGGAGCAAGGAATAAACGAAAAGGCCCAGAACAGATTTATTTTCCTTAGCAAAATTCATACAGAATGTTACAGTCAGGTGTTCTCAGCTTTCCCCAAAGATCAGAAGTTATCGCAGTTGTGTCCAGTGGAAGGGAAACTAGAAAGCTGCTCGTGCTCAGAGAAAGAATGACCAATGTGGGGTGGGGAGAGATTCCAGGGCATGGGTGGAGCGTGGGGCGGGGCAAGGAAGCTGGGGAGTCCCAGGGGCCTGGGCTTCAGCAGGCTGGAGGCCAGCTCCCGACTGGGAGGAGGGTCTGGGCCGCACGGCCAGGACCACAGGTTGTGGAGGGGACCTGGGCGGCCCCGCCAACCCATGCCTCAGCCCCGCCGCAATGCCTGCAACTGCTGGGCCACCTTCTCCAGCTCGGCCTCGATGGCTGACAGGCTTTCCAGCTCCTGGTCCTAGGAGAGAACACGGAAGGTGGCTCAGAAGGGCATGGAGGGGACAGGGGTTGGGTACGGAGAGCTGCGTGACCTTGGAATGGGTTGTCTTCCTGTTCCCTGTAAATGAGACAGCCAGGCTATGGATGCTGCCCTCCACCCCCCAGTTCTGTCTTGGAGTAGCCCTGGGGGCATGAGTTCTGAGGTACTGGGGCTTCTGAGAAGCAGAGAAGACCCCACCCCGCCCTGCCCACATGACTCTGGGACCCTGTGCCTGCTGTGGCGAGAAGCCAGCACGTGCCTCCAATCTTCCCAGCTTTCTGTAGCAATGCGAATGGTGCTGCAAACCGTGTACCCTGAAGCCCCTTCATCTCCATGGCAACAGGCAGCAGCCCTCTCCCAGCTCCCAATAGCCTCCCTGCTCTCCAGCTGTCCAGGAGACCCCAGGCCCCAAGCCCAGAAAGAGGGCTGGGGGCTCCAAGGAGAGTGAGCAGGGATGAACACTGGAGCCAGGGGTGTGGACAGGGTTTGGTCTCCCAGGTGCCATGAGGTACTACGGTTTGGACCAGGCAAGCCATGGGGCTACCTCCAGCTCCCCGTCAGGAAAACCCAAGTGCGCCTGCTGAGGGACAGTGTCCTCCTGCTTCCTAAATAGCCCTGAGTGTGACTCAGGGTGCAAGGTAATAAGGAAAGGACGCCTCCATTTCATAAATGGTTTGAACAATGAAGCTCCAAGAAGGGCAGGGACCGGGAGCTTGTCCCAGCCCGCAACCCCTGGGCCAGTCCCAGCCCAAAGCTAGAACTCCGCCCATTACCAACCTCAGCCCTGCGGTTGGCGCTGCCCTCCTCCTCCTTCTTCTCCTCAGGGTAGCTGTGGCCCCGTGCAGGCAGGCCAGCCTCCACGCTGTCCTCCCGGGAGGACGGCCTCCAACCCCGCCGCAGATGTGGCCCGGAGTCCCTGAAGCCATAGGCCCGGGACCGGAAGGAGAGCTTCATGGAGCGGTCAGGATCGGGGTCTGCGGCATCCTCGTCCTTGCCCTCCAGCCGCTTCTCAGCTGTCAGCTCCTGGGCCAGCTGCTCCATCTTGCTCCAGCGTTTGGCATCCTCCCACTCCTTGGAGAACTCCTCCCCCAGCTCCTCCAGCTCTGGCTCCCTGCTCGGCCTGCCCCGGGTAGGGCCTGGGGGGGCTCCTGCTGGCTCTTCCTCCTCCTGTCCCCTCTCTTCCTGTCCCTTGGGGGGCTCAGCCTTGGACTTCTTGGCTCCATCCAAGGCCAAGGCCTCAGACCTACCTGCAGTAAGTGAGGACAAGAACAGAATGAGGGTGGTGCCAAGCCCTGTCCCTGTCACCCCGCCCCCCCCAACCTACCCCTGGGCCCTCTGCTGTGGCCACCAACTCCAACCTGGCCTCCCCACAACCCAGTCCACCGGGGGAGCAGTGGCGAGAGCCCACCTCTTCTACAGCTGCTGCAACCCTGAAGCCGCTGGCCCCAGCTGGTGCGGGGAACGAGGAGAGACCCTGACCATGTCCTTGTGGGGTTCTGGGGCCTCGCCTCACTAAAGCTCATGCTGGGTGGTGTGAACATTGGGCTCCCTCATCACACTGCCTCTCTGTTCCCAAAGCCCACTCACAGCCCTGAGGGGCCCTCACCTTCCCTGTGGACTAGCTTCATGGCCTTTTACTACTCATGAACTGTGTGACCTCAGGCCAACCAGATGACCTCTCTGAACTCAGCTGCCTGTTAGGAACATGGCCGGGCTGCTGTGCGGGTGGGCGAGGCCCCATCCTGCCAACCCCCTCCTCCCAGACACGCAGGCTGGGGGCTTGGTCATCATACGTACTCTCGCCTTTGCGGATCTCCTCCAAGCCTCGGCTGGCTGGGCTGTCACCTGCGGCCGTGGGGCCTTCCTCCTCCGAGCTGTCTCCAGCCCTGGCTTCCTCCTCCTCCTCTTCTCCCTTCATCTGTGGTCCTTGCTCTGCACCCAGCCCTCTGTCCCCGTCCCCTGGGCCCTGGGAGGGACCCTCGCCATCCCCGTTGGCCCGTGTGCCTGGTTGCTTCTGGCTCGGAGGGGGCTGGGTGTGGGGGGCCTCCACCTCCTCAGGGGTCTGGCCGGTGCCGTTGGTTGCCGACTCTCGCCCAGTCTCTGAGAAGCCCTGTGACCTGGCTCCGTCTGGGGCTTCCCCGCTGCGCATGTCCTGCCTTTTCTCCACCGTGTCCTCTGGGGCTGCCACCTCCGTCCCCCCTGCAGAGGCAGCACAGCACGTGAGGCCCACGGAGCAACCAGTCTCCGGGCCCTGTCTCCACGCCTTTGGCTTCTACCAGGCCCAGCCTCTTAAACCAAAACAGGCAAGAGAAACCTGCAGAGTTAAAAACTCACCCAAGAGGATAGAAGCCTGAACAGAAAATTAAGACATCAGCTGGAGTGTTACGTGCCCCTGGACAATCACGTAACCTGTGTAAGAGGCCTATGGCTGTGGCTTCGTTCTCTGGCGGTTTCTCTGTAGGAATTCCTCAGCAGGTGCTCCCATGGCTGCCTTGAGGATGACCTCTGACCAGTGGGACTTCCTCCCTCCCCTGCTGGAACCGCTGCTCCTGAACCAACCACTCCACAGGAGCTCCTCCAGGCTCCGGGTGAGAGGGCCTCCCAGGCCCCACCTTGCGGAAGCCCCGCTGGCCTGCGAGGAGGTGGGCAGCCTGGCATCTCCTGTGGGCTGCAGGTGACAGAGCCGATGACGCCCAGTGCCAAATTCAAGGCATGCGCTGACATGTGGCTGCCTCTCCAAAGGGAGCCACACACACACACACACACACCTGGCACACACACACACAAATACTCCCACACAGCTACAGGATTACACACAGACATGCAGACACACAGGCACAGACATGCACAGGTACACACACTCACACAGAAGCACAGGCACACATAGACACACACAGACATGTAAGCAGACACACATGGACACAGACACACACACAGACATGCACGCACGCATGAACGCTCATGGCACACGCTGACACATAAACACACGTGCATATTCACACACATGCACACAGACCCATGGACACCACATGCACGAGCATGCAGATCCCACTGCTCGGTCCCTCCATTCTGCAGTCCTGGCAGGCTTCCATGCTCAGTCCAGACAGACACCTGCTCTCCTGCAGCCATTACAGGAGGCTGAGCTGCACCCCGCAGCCGCTAGGGAGGCACTGCCAGCACGGCGGCTGTGGGTTCCCTGGCAGGCCCAGAAGAAGGGATCTGGGGGCCTAGCTCCCGGACCCCAGCTCATGTTCCCATCTTCAACACAGCATGGCGGGGCAGCCTGGGGCTCTTACTCGGTGGGGAGGACAGGTTCCAGATCACAGTGCTGACCTAGGCCACTGTCTTCCTGATCCCTAATAGTCTTGGGGTTCAAGGAAGCTGACCCAAGTCCTGAGCATGCTGCCCACCCTCCCTGGAACCCTTAGACTGCAGTGGCTTTGGGTGGGCAAGGCTGGACGAGTGCGGCCGACCCAGACTTGGGTCCCCAGTCATGCGGCACGCCTTGGCCTGGAGACTGTTTCTCTGGGTCCCAGTTTCTTCTTTTTGTGAAGGGAAGGAAATGATAGCGATCTCACAGGGCACAGAGACGGGGTTCTTGGCTCCCAGGTGCCCATGATCCTGCATACCCACCATGCTTGGGGCACCCCCGTCTGCCTCCGGTTGGACAAACCTGGTTGTGTGGCCTGGTCGCTCTGGGTGTGCAGGACCTCCGAGAGCTCTGCCTCAAAGCCACTCTGCTTCTCCTGTTGCCGCACCCTCTCCTGGGCCCCTGGTGGCAGAGAAGCGGCAATCTGTCCCATGGGCTCAGCCCTGGCCATTGAGCTGGGCACGTGGGCATCTGCTTCCCCACCCACGAACGTGGTCGAGCATGTTCCAGGCCTGCCCCGCATGACCCTGTGGGGAACTGAGTTCAGGAGGGCCGGCGGGGAGCAGCAGGCACCCCAGGCCCCTCTCTGCAAGAGCCACCGCAGCTCCCCAGAAAGATAACAAGCCCTGCCTGATGCTGCATGAGAGGAATGTGGGGGCCCAGTGCTGTGGCCTAGCAGCTTAAGTCCTCGCCTTAAATGTGCCAGAATCCCATATGGGCGCCAGTTCTAATCCCGGCAGCCATCACTCTGCCTGCTTGTGGTCTGGGAAAGCAGTCGAGGACGATCCAAGGCCTTGGGACCTGCACCCACGTGGGAAACCTGGAAGAAGTTCCTGGCTCCTGGCTTCGGATCGGCGTAGCACCAGCTGTTGCGGTCACTTGGGGAGTGAATCATCGGACGGAAGATATTTTCTCTGTCTCTCCTCCTTTCTGTATATCTGACTTTGTAATAAAAATAAATAAATCTTAAAAAAAAGGGAATGTGGGGGACCCCTTAGGGCCTGGTGGCTGGCTCCAGGGCCAGTGACTGGCTGGCTCCTCATGGAAGTTCGACCCTGACCGTATGGGGAGTAAAAGAGCAGATGGAAGATCTCTCTCTCTCTAACTCAAGTAAATAAAGCATTTAAAATAAAAAGAAAATAATACTGTCTATTGTACACACACATTTCCCCTATAATGATCTGCTAGGTTAATTATTTAAAGGCAACAAGTCATTCAATATCTAATTAAAATGATCATATTATCATCATATTTAATATTTAATTTAAAAACACAAACTTGGGGCTCAGGATGATGAAATGAACAGTGACCCCTGTTTGGCCCAGCACCTGCCATGACACCTAGCTCTCACTTTGTCCCCCCAGTGGCCCCAAGAAGCAAGGGTGGGAAGGAGTGCTGGGCAGCCCGGGAGTGGCCACAGGGGTTCCTGTGCTGGGATTCTGTCAACTCGCTGGGCGAGGTGCTGGGTAGCATGGCTAACTCTGTGAGCTAACAGCAGCCCGATGACCTGCATCCCACCCAGCACCCTGACTGACCTTGACTACCCCAGTGACGGGGAGCTCACCACCTCGCTCACTAAGTATGTCTCTTCCCAGGACTGTGTGGACTTGCTTAATCTCGTGGAAAAAACACCACTTGCCTTGAAGCATGCTGAAAATCTGGACTGTGCTTGAGGACAGGCAAGACCCATCTGTCCCCACTTCCTTCTGACTAAAAGCTCTCCTGTCTTTCTGCCGCCAGTGCATCCCACAGTTTACCGGGGTGAGGAGCCCCCTGCAAATGCCCTCCCACACGGGCTACAGTCTGGCTGCCCTGGGGCACGAGGACTGCTGCATCTGGTCTTGGCATGTCCCTCCCCACTGTGTGACCTTGGGGAGGTGGCTCAGCTTCTCTGGGCCTCTGTCACAGCACAAGCAATGGCTGAAGCAGGCGGCACGCTGGGATTGAAAGGAAATGCCCGAGTTGCCCCACCTGCCGCCCTCCTGATCTGCCCCTCCTGTCCTGGAAAATACCTTGCAGAGCCAGGTCTTGGAGCTCCTTCAGCAAATTCTGGTGCCGCAGGATGGAGAGGATGCGTTCGTCTGGAACGAGAGGGCGCTGTCATGGGGAGCGGGGTCTCAGGTCACCGAGCAGTTGCAGCTGAGCACACAGGATTCATTTGGAAATACAAAAGCGGTGTGGCAGCAGCCAGCTTGGGGCTGCAGAGAGCCCTCCTGAAATTACCACCTTTGCCAGGCACTAGTTGGTGGCCACCGACCCCAGAGCATACGCCACAAGGGGTCTCTGTAAACGCCCTTCGTGCCCCACGCCTTGCTTAGACCGCCCACATTCCATTTCTTCATTTTCCTCCTTTTTTTAATTCCCAGCACTCCTTTTCTGTTTAAAAAGGCCAGCCCAAGAGCTACAGCTTCCACTAGCTGTCTAGTTAGGAAGTCTGGGCTCACCATGCCATGCCTTTGTCCAGCACGAAGCTATGGGGTGTCACCCAGGTGCCAGAGGTGGTTTCAAAATAAAACACGCAAAACCCTCACCCCGAAGTTCGCTGTCCCAGCTCAGATTGGTTCTGCCCAGAATTCTAGGATATTCTGTTAATGTATATATCCACTCTCTAACCTACGTTCTCCAGAAGCAAATGAGCCAGGACCCCGTCATCACCCAAGCCCCATGGAGCCCAGCCCAGCACCCAGCCAAAGCAGACACTTGCTCAGGTACCCATATGCCCACCTCCCAGTCCCGGGCACAGACCTCCTCGAAGTGTCTCGAAACACTCCTGGCTGACGGGCATCGGGTTGGGCTTGGAGAGTGTGTCAGAGATGACCTCCACGATGCACTTCATGACCTGAGAAGAGAGATGAGGGCACAGGCTGGGGCTGCCCTGCAGGAGAGCTCAGCCCCTACAGGATCCGGGGCATAGCTCTGCCCTCCTGGCTGGACAGGCCTGCCAGTAACTCATCACTTGAACAGCAGCTGAACCTGTTGGGCAGGGGCAGGGGGTGCAAGAGGACTGGTGCCTGGCTCACGTTCATCCCGAATGTTGCTTCTCGGAAGATGCAGAGGCCAAGGTGGAATGCCAGCAGGAAATCTTGTGAACATGCTTTGGTCTTGCACAGTTCCACAGGCCAGCTCCTCCAGGGAGCCCTTCTAGATTTCCTTGGCTTTACCGTATTGAAATGGGACCTGGATCACTCCTCCAATACCCACATGGAAGCAGTGACAGCCTCCTAATCTGGCTCCATAGTCACAGGTGGGATGAATCCGCTGGCTGACAGCAGCTCTGTCTCTATCCAGTGCCCAATCAGGCCCCCTTGCTAAATGGATCCTGTACTATCCCCTGCTGAATGGCCCAAACTGTAGTGTGTCTCCCAGCTGTGTGATGTTGGGCAGGTAGCTTAACCTCTCTGTGCCTCAGCCAGAGAACAAGGCAAGTCCCCAGACCTGCTCTGACAGCCTAGGGCTGGGTAGAGGAGCGGGAGGTGTCACATGTGTACCAGACAACAGGAGCATGAGTAGGCGAGGGAGTGGAAGGCTGTGTCGGTGAGACACCAAGGCAACAGAGCCGCAGTTCCAGGCTCGCAAAGCGGCCAACACTGCATGGCACATGCAGTCCCAACCCCACATGGGGCACTTGGGTCTCAACCCGAGCTGCCCAGTGTCTCTGACCCTCTCTGCCCGACATACCCCGGAAACCTGAATGTCTCACTGAGGGCAAGTGGCAGGCAGGGTCCTGCAGCCCATAGCCTGTGTCTGTGCTGGCCCTGCCCATTCACTGAGCCCGCACATGATCACCCATCAAGAGGGCGGATTCTGGAAGGCAGGAACCAGCTGCTGGTGCCAAGAGGGCTGGGGTGCTCAAGAACAGATGCTCCAGGATGGACAATCCCTGTGACTGCTGCTCAGAGAGGTTAGGCAATTTTCCCAATGCTGCACAGCTAGAACGAATGGTGTAAATTTAATTTCTAGCCCACTGCCACTAAAAAGAAATCAAAAATGGAATCAGAACTGAACCATCTTCGACATTTTAAGTTTTGACGGTGGTTTCTTAACAGCCCCTGGAAGGGTGGAGGAAATATTTCTTTGACCCTCAAGTGGAGGTAAACAGGGCACCACAGCATGGCAAAGCAAGCCCTGTTCACACACTGACCCAAGTCCATGTCCAGTTGCTGGAGAAAGTCCCCCTCCCCCAGCCAGTTCCTGGGCTGCCCCCCCACCAGCCCCAAAGGTCCTGGGTTGCAGGAGGCAAGAATGCCCCTCGAGCAGGGTGCTGCAGGCAGAGCCAATCCCGGAGGCCTGTGGATGCCACGCAGAGGTTCCAGCTCCAGTGTGCAAGCCAGCAGGTCCAGTGGGGCCAGGCAACCGTATGGAGGGAGCCGGGGAGTCCCCACAGCAGGACAGCAGGCAGAGCAAGCACTCTTTGATATCTTCTTTTGCAAGCTGTGCCCAGGCTCGTAGCCGCAGTGCTGGCTCCTGGCTTTATGCCACGCGCACTCCTGCAGCTGCCCGAGACCTAGCTGTGCACGCCAAGTGTCCACAGCCCAGGAGCATCCCTGCTCTTACCTCGGTGTCTGCCTTACTCAGAGCGCTGTTCACCGGCAGGGCAGCAACTGGGGAGAAAAAGAGTGCCCACTCACTCACCTCCTGCCCCAGCAGGACCCCTGCACCCAATGCCCCCCTTAAAACTGCCTCCACCCCAGCCAGAGGCCGGGGCGATTTTGTGTCTCTTCCAGCCCTACTGCCTTAGATCGGGAGGGGGTGAGGCAGTCCCTAGAGGTGGCACTGGGAGCCTTAACTCTTCCCAAGGGAGCAGGTGCTTGGGAAACCAGGCCAGGGGCCACGGGGGAACGGGGCAGAGGGTGGGGACAGATGCAGGCAGAGGAACAGCCCCTCAGGAAAAGGCGGAGAAGGGGGGCGCTTGTGATAGACTCCAGAGGCAGGACTCAAGGGCAGCAGTGTGGGAGGAGAAAAGAGGGGAGAGGGGAAGCCATAAGCATTTCTCCCACCTCCCCGCAATGACCTTGGCCGGCCTCGGCGCGGAGTCGACGCTGGCCCTGAGGCTGCCGAAGGCCTCGCAAGGGCTGCGGAGGCAGGGGGCCCTGCCCGGTGGAGTGGGGAGTCCGTCCGGGTGTTCCAGGGGGCCGGTCCGGGCGCTGCTACCCCGCGCGCGGGGCAGGGTCGCCGTGCGCTGTCCGCGGTGCTGATGGCCGCCGCGGAGCGGCCGGAGGGGCGCGGGACGCCAAGCCAGCGCCTCGGGGCGGGAGGCCAGAGAGGCCAGGGGCTCCCCGACCTTCCCTGGACCGACCCCTCGCTCACCTTGCCAGGCGCACAACAGAAGCGCCAGGACGGCGGCGGAGTGCATGGCGAGGTCGGGGTGCAAAGAATCTGGCGGCGAGGGAGCGCGGGGCGTCCGCCGCTCGGTCCGAGCGCGGCTACAACCAGCCCTGTGGTCGAGGCGGCGGCAGCAGCAGCAACTGCAACCGGGCGCCCCTTATGTACCCCGACCCCGGAAATGACGTCAGCGGGGCCGCCCCTGGCCCTGCCCCCACCCCCGGGGTGCGGCCCCTCCTCTCAGTGCTGCTGGCTTAGGACATCCACAGCAGGTGGGTCGGCCGGCTTCGGGGGAGGAGGTGGGGTGCAGGTGCGCAGGAGCCGGTTCCCCGGGCGGTTCCACCGATTGCCCGCATGCACCCCTCATCCTCCAGCAAGTGCCCCTCCCGGGCTCCGTCTTGGTTTTCTAGCTCCTGAGCACCTTCTTTGCCTGGGACCTGTTTCCTTGGGAGCTCTCACAAGCTAGCCCTCTCAGGCTAGAGGGGAGCCCTGACTCCCCAGAACACCGGAGTGGCCCCACACAGCCATCCCGCACCTTACTGGGTCCGAGCCGAGCCTGGCTCCCGGGACACTGACCCGGCTTGTCACTGGGTATGCTCACTTATTGTAATTGTGGTTTCCACAGTGCTTAGCACTGAGCACTCTGGCACTACTGTGTATGTTGGTTGAAGGTTCAGTCCACAGACTGAAGGTCATTTCCACCAGGAGGCCTTTGTGGACAGCTTGCCAGCAGGGGTAGGGGGTACTGGGAGTCTTCTTCAGGATCAGGCAGAACAGGAGACCCTGCAGCTCCTCCTGCTTAGCCCTTGCTCATTCTGCAGAGTCCCCCTCTTGGCCTGAATTCATCCTGCATCGAGTTTTGTCAAAACACATGGGGTGCTGTGGAGTGCCCTCCATGGTCCAGCCACCTGCTGTCACCCTGAGGGACATGCCACTTGCCCTCAAGTTTCACCATGCACCTGCTCTCTGGGTGACCACTTGGCCTTGGCTGCCGTGGTCCAGAGCCCCTCCCACCTCCGGCCCTTACCTGTGCCCACTCCCATCGCTGAATCTTGGACTGAGGTGGCTCTGTTCACACACTTCCTCGTCCATTCATCAGCCACTTGTGGAACATGCAGCTCTGTGCCTAGAAGGCCGTAGACCTGCACTCGGGTGCTGAGGGGCTGCCGCAGCCAGGAAGAGAAGAGGCCCAATACTTGAGGATAAAGGCAGACAATGAGACAGTGGAGAAATGTCAGGTGCCACCAAGGGCTGCAGACAGAAGAAGGCAGAGCCAGGGACAGATTGCAAGGGGGCACACAGGGTCTTGGGGGCCTCAGCTGCAGGTGACAGCGATGAGCTCCGGGCAGGGTGGTGGGATGGGTGGCAGGTGCACAGGCCGGAAGCGGGGAAGGTGGGACGTCAAATGGCAGCGCAGAGGTAGAGTGAAGAAGACACAGAGCCTACTAGTATTTCATCTTAGAATCACGCAAAGTACAGTAAAGCCACCTGTTCTCACAGCAGCCAGGGAGAAGTGTCAGCTGTGAGCGCTTCTCCGAGGCATGGCCACTGTCGATCTGAGCCCTGAATAAGCCTGGAGTCCTGCCGACCCGTGTTTGTGTGTGTGCGCGCGAACACGCGTGTGTGCAGGTCTGCAACCTGCCTTCTTCCCCACTTCGTGTCAGGGACACTGACCGTGTCAGGGACACAGTTGTGAACCACAGTAGGGACTGTGTCGCAGTTTGTTTAATTTACAAGGTAGATCTTCTCAGTGTTCATTTTTGCTGTCCTAAAGAACAGTCTCGTTCTTAAAGCTCTCTCTGTTTCTCTCTCTCACGTTTCTAAGTGAATGAGAGATGTGTGGGAAGGGCAGCCAGAACCCCACTCCTGATGCTGGAGCCCCCACGGTGAAGAGGGCGAGAGGGAGAAAGCAGATTTGCCCAAAGGCTGGACCTGGAACTCCTTCCGGGTCTCCCATGTGGGTGGCAGGGGTCCACGTATTGGAGCCATCTTCTGTTGCTTGCTTGGACACGTCAGCAGGGAGCTGGAACACCATCTAGTAAATGCAGAAAGAAATAGTGGAGGTTTCCAGGGTCCAGGGAGGAGAAGTGGGGAGCTGGTGTTTTGCTGTACACAGGTGCAGAATGGCAGGACAAGATGGCTCTGAGTCGGGAGGTGGCTTGTGACGATGTGAGCATGCTTGGGGAACCCTCAGGCACTAAATGGGATGGTCTCCAAGATAAGTGGTTATCTTCCAAAGTGACACCCAGCATGCTGATAGCAAGAGTCCCCAGGGCCCGACTTGTATATCCCATGGAAGCTGCAGCTCCCCACGAGCCACGCCCAAGTCTAAGAGGTGCAGCCAGAGTCCTGCCCACAGCTTTGGGACCTGCACCTGCCAGGATCTGCCCCTTTGGACCCAAGAGCTCATGGCAGAAAGCAAGGGAGGGGCTGGCCCCTTCACCGATGCAGCCACAGCCACAGACTTCAGATGCCCATTCAGAAAACGCCCGCTTCCTCTGCCCTAGGTGGGGCAGCTCTGTGGTCAGCCTTTCCGCGCCATTACACAGCCGTGCCCCAGGTGCTTAAGGCTGCGTGTTGATAGCACTCACTTGTGGATGGCACACACTATGTTGATGGCACCTGTTTTATTGAAAGTACTTTGCACTAACAGTGCCAGCTGTCGACAACACACATGTGCTCAGCTTTCTTTTTCTTTCTGACCTCTCCACCCTCCATCCTCATCTCCCCTTTTTACTTTTCTACCTAGAATTAATTTTTTTAAAAGATGTATTGTTATTTATTTAAAAGGCAGAGTTACAAAGACATTTCACCCCCTGGTTCACTCCCCAATGGCTGTGACCCCCAGGGCTGAGCCAGACCAAAGTGCGGAGCCAGGAGTTTCATCCAGGTCTCCTAGGTGGCTGTAGGGCCCCAAGTACTTGGAAGCACTTTTCACTGCTTTCCCAGGTACATTAGCAGGCAGCTGGATCAGAAGCAGAGCAGCTGGGACTTGAACCACACCCACATGGGATGCTGGTCTTACAGCATAACCAGTTATACCACAACTCTGACCTCTAAAAAATTATTAAAGAACAAATTCTTCTTAATGTTTTAAAAATTTGAATTGAATGACAATGAGAAAGACAGTAGGAAAATAAGATATGAAGACAGAATGGCTCTAGTCAAGTGGTCATTCTCCAGTGGTGAGAATGGACCAAGTTCAGAATCCACCAGGATGGGAAAATGAGCATAGCCCTGAAACAGCCATGATGGAGGACCCAGTGAGAGGGTGGGATGGCCACACTGGGGGACCCAATGAGGGGCAGGATGACCACGCTACAGGGACTCAGTGAGGGGTGTGACGGCCACACTGGGGAACCTCAGCTTCCTTCTGCAGCCCTGGGGCCTGAAGCAAAAATCAGTAGGAGCAAGAGAGCTCCTGTGTCTGGTGACCAGAAAAGTCCTCTTGGGAAGCTCCTGGAGTAACTGGCTACTGCCCAGCTGGGATTCAGTGACGCTGATGCTTGCAACCCCTGCAAGACCCCCAGGGAAGGTGGCAGCTGCTTAGCCAACCTCAGGACCCTGGCCTGGGGCAGTAGTGTCAACACGCCCTCACCCCGCTTGCTCACAGAATCACATTTTCCAAACACGCGGCTCCTCCCAGCCCCTCATTGGGCATCCGGGTGGAGAAGCTGGTTGCCTGGCAATGCGCTTTATCTGCCGGGTCTGCACAGAGTCCAGGAGGAGGCGATTTCATTAGATCCGCTCCCATCTGGCTCTGCAAACATCCCCGGGGGCTTTCAATTAAGGTTTGGCTTTTCTTCTTAGACAGATGTTTGCTTTCATCTAATGAAGCGGTTTCCAGGTCTCCAATCCGTGGGTGACAAGGGCTCCGGGGGCCCCAGTCCAGGAGTGATGGGAGAGCTTGGGGAGGGCGCTGGGGACACCAAGCCCTGGACCCAAGGCTGCCTCACTCCAGGGATGGGGGTAGGGGACAGGGTTCCAGGAGAGTTGGTGTGACTCTTGGACAAGACACTGTGGAGGGGACAGTGGGAAAGCAGCCGTGCCCTAGGGACAGTGTCACAGCCATTGGGAGCCATGGGGAGACACGGGCGGGGAGCTCTGTCTTCCAGAGAGCGTGCTTCTGGCCAGGGCTCTGGGCTCTGAGCTTGCCCAGAAGTTTGACTTCCAAGGCTGAGAGAAGGTTCAGGGTACTGACCCCCAGGGCCCTCTGCTGGCAGAGGTGCAAGAAGAGCCGCACATGGGGACCAGGGAGCCCAGGGTTAATAACCTGGAGGGTGTGTTTTTTCTTCAGGGGCCCAAGCCTCTTCCATGTTAAGGTAGGAGGGGTTCCCCACAACTGTGCCTGATGCCCTGCAAAGGAGATGTTGGGGGGCCCTCAGGGCTGAGGGCGGCTGACCCTGCTCCCCATCGAGGCTGAGTGGTGAGCTGACGACCCAGTGCTTAGGCCTGCTCCTTTCTAGTCAGCTCAGCTAGGGGCTGGGGCACAGGCAGGGAGATCTTTGGGGAGCTTTGTTGTGGACACTGCACAGGGGCCTGTCAAGCCACCTTGGGGTCCCGTTGCTGTCGGCCCAATGAACTTGCAGAACCAGTCAGTGGATCGGCCATTTCCCCTGAGGGACAGGGTGTCCTCTCGGCCCTTCCCTGGCGTCTCCACCTGTCTCTTCACCTGTGAGAGGCTGCCAGGGACTCCAGAACCATGCGGGCCTTGGTCATTGTACCTCGTATCCCTGGAGTCTAGGCGCCCGCCTCGTGCTCTCCCTCGCCCACCTGACCTCAGGACTTCTTTCCCTTCTTTTATTTATTTATTTTATAAAATTATTTATTTATTTGAAGGGCAGGATTACAGAAGGAGAGAGGGTTTAACGTTCCAGATGGCCATGATGCCTGGGGCTGGGCCTGGCCAAAGCTAGAAGCCAGGAGCTTCATCTGGTCCCCCACTTAGGATGGCAGTGGCCCAAGCTCTGAGGCCATTTTCTACTACTTTTTTAAGCACATTCATGGGAAGCTAGATCTGAAGTGGAGCAA